CACCATTACAAATCCTCGCAAAAGAACCCCGATTCCCACCAAGGATGATACGCGAGGCTATTGAAATTTAAAAACATCCTAAATTCAATAGAGAAGATGGCTGGGTGCTGCCATCTGCTTGGGATCCGTTAATTAACAAAATTAAACCCAAACCCAAGCATACCACTGCAAGACTTCAAGATACTGTAAGCTCGTTTTGCGTAGATCGGAACGAAAAATTAATATTAAAAAACTGAAGGTAGCCGGGCTAACAATGACATTTGGACGTCAAACATCTCAGTCCCCTCCCCCCGTGACCATGGGTGCTGTATTGTCATTGAAATAAGTAAAAGTAGTTAATTAAATGCGATAGAATCCGTAAATTTAGTTTTATTCAATGTGCAATAAAGTGGTGTGACAATCTTGTGGATACTGTCCATGCAGTCGGAGCTAAATTCTGTTAGACCCGACCCGACACAAAAGTTTTCGATCACACTCTTAATCTCATTGCTGCTAGACAAGAGAAGAAGTTTCAGTCGTCAGCAGATTTAAGAGCATACAGGCAACTGAACAGACAGATCTCCAAATGCATGTAGTGAGATTTACGCAACTTTAATACAGCTCGTATTGAAGAAGTCATTGAGTGGAACCAGGGCTCCAAAGTCTTTGCCGGAGATCTGTCTGCTGGGACGGCCCATTTTTATCTATACTTATAATAAATCTGTAGAGAGGTCAATTCTGTACATGAAATATATTTTCAAAATAACTATCAGGGGGTGATTAATGATCGATACTGTTGCCAAAACAGTAAAATTTTTGTCTGTATGTCTGTCTGTATGTTCGTTATAGAATCAAAAACTACTCGAAGGATTTTAACGAAACTTGTTACAATCATGTTTCATAATCCTGGGCAGGTTATAGTATACTTTTCATTACGCTACGATCAATAGGAGCAGAGCAGTGAACGGAAATGTTGGGGAAACGGGAGAAATTACTCCATTTTTTATGCTTCCGTCGCGTGTGCAGCCTTAATGGTTAAAGCTACACAGAAATCATGTATAACTGAAATGTTTTCCTTAAAATTATATAAAAAATAACCCACGACAGCATATGTATATCTTTTATGGTTGACTCACAATAACACGTGTAACTCCCGATAGTTCAGCAGTTCGGAGCTTTCTGATTATATTTGTCTACTCTTACGTTTATAATACTCTCACTCATCCCTAATTAAAAAAAGTTAACATTATTATCTATTCAATTAAAAAAAATCATAGAAATCGCTATATAAACACCAAAGTTATACATGAAATACGCTAATAAGCCATCGCGCGTGAATACTGAATCATCCAATAAGGATTATTTTTGTGTAACGGTCGCTGCGCTCGACGCGGCTCGCGGCGGGAGGTATAAAAAGGTGGAGGGTCTGACAGTAAAATGTCCCTTCGAAACAAGCGTACCCTTTACAAGGTCTGTATACGACCAGTCATGTCCTACGCGGGCTCCGTCTTTGCCCACGCAAACCCTAATATTATAAATGAACTCCAAATAGTTCAGAACCTCTTCTGTCGTCGAGCTGCGAACGCACCTTGGTACGTCCGTAACGCTGACCTTCATCGGGACTTAGAGCTCCCAACAATTCAACAATTTCTAAAAAAACTCTCTGAGAACTTCTTCAAAGCCTCAGAGTCGCACCCAAACCAATTAATTCGTGAGGCAGCTTCTTATGCAGCCCCATCCCCCTCTCGCTATCGTGTCCGCAGGCCAAGAAACGCTCTCTCGGACCCGCCTAATAAACTGTCAAACGACCTGAACTGTCTCCTGGCGGCTCAGGCTAACTCTAATTAAATTAAATTATTGTAATAACTAACATTAATTTGCCTTCGTAGGCACTCCCTCAGCGGCACTTAGCCGTCTGCGCCCTCTTTTCCCAAAAGAGGGTCGCTCATGATAAGGCACAATACAGCTTAATCAGCCGGCTGCCTGTCCCCAAAGGCGGTTTATAGAGGGTATCACTTAGGGTCCCCGGTAAGACAGTGAGCCCTTCATAACCACGATAGACCGGCTATCGTGGTATGCGTAATGCATTTTCCGCCTCCCTACGTATAGGGTAGCCTTTTAATTGCATCGGGCGCAAAAAAAAAGTACGAGCTTCAGTTCCGTCTGCGCAAAGCCCCCGAGCGGTCGTGCATACAGTTCGTGCTCCGACCACGTGCGGAGTGCAACCTCTCGCCCGCGCGCCCCGCTCCCCCCGGCTAACACCGGCCGAGCAGACGCCGTTGGTGAGTTCCTTTATTTTCGCATCGTTCTTGCCCCCTCGCTCCGGCGGGGAGGTTTGAGCGCGCTTTGCTTTGTTTTGTTTTTATTTTTTCTGTTATTGTTTTATTATCGTTATACGGTTACTTTGTGTTGTTACTGTTCTTGGAAGATCTCTTGCTCTTCTCAGAGCGAGCCCTTGTTCTTTTCAGAACATAGGGACCCCAGCTTCTGGGAATAGAACGTCAGTCCTCCCCATCTGCCACCCAAGGCCCTGTTCTTCTCAGAATAGGGACCTCTAGATTCTTAGAATAAATCGTCACCCCCCCGTTCCAAATCAACATGTCTGCCATAGATATGAACCACGTTGCGAGCGTAATAGCGGCCGCGATCCGTAATTATTGCCAAAATCAGGGAATAGCCGTCAATATTGACGAAACCCTCCTCCACAGGGCTATTGCCCCCACTCATGTCCCCACTGCCCCTCAGGCATGCAGCCCTCCGCCCGTGGTTAAGTCATTCTTAGCAGAGGATGACTCCGAAGCCATGAAGCACTCGGACACCGTTTCTGAAACTTCCACCCGTAAGAGGTCCGCTCCTACGTCAATCTCATCCAGTAGCTGCTCCTCGGACTCATCACAGTCCAATCAATCAGTTATAGATACGACCCCCTTTACGGAAGTTAAATCCAAGCGCGGTGCGAAACGCGTTGCGACCTCTCGCGCTCCTGCCGCCCCCGCAGCCCCCGCTCCTGCTCAATCCACCGCAGCCCCCGCGCCTGCCCGTTCCACCGAAGCCCTCGTCGCTGCCACAAAGAAACAGGTCCCGCTCCCTTTCTAAAGTCTGTTACGACGCAGGCTTTAAATATGACCAAGCCACCACACACAAGACTTTAGAAACATCACCAAACTATTCACAACCGAAGGTGTGCCCTATCACACCTACTCCCTCCCTGAAGATCGTAAATTCAGGGCTGTCCTCCGCGGAGTTCTCTTTGAACTCGCCAACGAGGAAATCCTGGAGGACCTTAAGTCCCAGAGATTCCCAGTTGAGGCTGTGCACAAGATGCACAGTTGTAGAGGCAAGAGGTACTCGCTTGCCCTCCTAATTTTGTCCAACGTGCCGGAGGCGAAAGACATATTCCGACAGGTACACACTGTGTGCGGCCTGTCGAGAGTCAAAGTCGAAGCCCCCTATAGGCGCGGTTTTCCGGCACAGTGCCACCGCTGCCAACTCTACGGGCATGCGGCGGCCAACTGCTCAACCCCTCCCAGGTGCGTTAAGTGCCTAGACCCGTACAGCTCGAAAGAGTGTCCTCGGCCCCGTGATACCGAGTACCCACCCGCTTGCGTCCTTTGCGGACAGACCGGCCATACGGCCAACTTTAGAGGCTGCCCTCGTGCGCCTAGCCCCAATCTCGGCAACAAAGCTGTCAAAAAAGCTCCGCCACCGGTCAATGAACGTACATTCCCGGCTCTCCCATCCAAAAAGCTCCTTCAGGGCAACTCCCAGTCACCTCAGGACCTACATCAGCCCCCTCAGGGACCCTATAGGCCTCCTCACCTTCGCCCACTAGGGTCGCGACATCAGGCGGAACCCTCTTACGCCGATAACGTTGATACGGTATACACTGATATCCACAATATCGACGTAAGAGAGATCGCAATTTTAGCACGCAAACTGCGCGCTCTCAGTCCCCTCAAGACCGTCTGCTCGCACTTACCAAGCACCAACACCTTCTAAACTCAATATAAGTAGTCATCCCATTCGTAAGCTGCCTTAATTAGGCAGCAAGTCTTCCCAGCGGCTACTTGCCGCTAGCGCTCCCCTTTCACCCAAGGGGGGTCGCGTTCGATACGGCTTACAGATATAGTCAGACTATTAAGCCAGTCCCTATAAGGTGGGGTTTAGTGGGTAAAAGTCTCCACATAACCACGCAGCCGGCTGCGTTGTATGCTGTGAGCATTCCCCACCTCACTCCCCCGCTTTCCGGAGGGTTGCCCATATTTGCTTCGGGCGCAAAAAAAGTACGAGCTTCATACAATATTTTACTGTTGATGCGAATAGACGTTCAGAGTGTTTGACCTTATTGACAGACAATAATTGATTTTAACAAACCGTGCTTATCAGCGCGACTTTTAGTCTACTCTTACGTTTAATAAATTATTTTTAGATTTCTTTGGTTGTTATTTTATAAAATAGGTATTAGTTATTTTGGTAATGTTTAAATATTTCTTAGTATTAGCTTAATTATAAATTAAACTTTTTTTATTTAGCTGTAGATTTAAATAGGTACCTAGGTATCAAATAGGTTATTTCATGCTATTATACGTAGTTTAGGTACCTATTTATATATTTTTAAGAATTTATTTTTGGATTTAAGGATTTATTTAGGATCCGTTTTATTATTTAAGTAGGCATTTAGAATTTTTTGAGTGTATGGTAGCTATCGTTAGGACCTCTAACTTAGATTATTTTATTAAGTAACTGAATGCCGTCGATTAAAAATAAAATACACAATGCCACCTAAAAACGATTATCTTTATCTCGAAATTCGAGAGAAGCTAAGAGAATGAGAAATGTGCGTTCTCAAGAATCGGCAGAGGAAAGAGCACATCGGTTAAACTCTATGAGAGTTAGTGCCTCAACTTCTCGAGCCAATGAAAGCTCTCCAGAAAGAGAGATGCGATTAGCAGCTGACAGAGCGAGACGAGCTACATCACGGGCGTCTTAAAGTTCTTTTCAACGAGAGCTAAGGCTTACCATTGACCGAGAACAACAATTTGTTATCCCGAGAAGCTGAAACTGCTTCACAAAGAGAATTGCGGCTCACAGCTGACCGCGAACGGCATACATTATCTCGCGAGTCCGAAACCTACACTGAGAGTGAATTACGTCTCACAGCTGACCGCGAACGGCATACATTATCTTGCGAGTCCGAAACCTACACTGAGAGGGAATTACATCTCACAGCTGATCGCGAACGGCATGTACTATCCTGTGAGTCCGAAACCTTCTCTGAGATTGAATTACGTCTCACAGCTGATCGCGAACGGCATGTACTATCCCGTGAGTCCGAAACCTACACTGAGAGGGAATTACGTCTCACAGCTGACCCCGAACGGCATACATTATCTCGCGAGTCCGAAACCTACACTGAGAGGGAATTACGTCACACAGCTGATCGCGAACATCATATTTTATCTCGAGAATCTGAAACTTTTACTCAATATGAAGACCGTTTGACAAATGATAGGGTGCACCATAATATTATTCGATCTCTTGAAGATGAACATGAGCATGAACAACGACTAGAGACGCGGGACGCGAATATTACAATTCTTTGAGACAAGAACGATTAATAAGTTTGTCTAATGAAAGATTAAGAATTGAAAATATTCGGTCTCTTGAAACGGACGAACAGCGAGAGGCCCGTTTTACTGCAGACAGATTTCGACATAGTCTTAATGACTTAGATGTACACATAGAAGATCAATCTACAAATTCGGTGGCGTGGTGCGACCAATATAAAAGTGGGTTTGCTTATAACCTCACAATTGATTACAGATCATCTTCTGTAATAGGCGATATGAACGTAGTATGTTCTTTTTGTAATGCTTCAAAGTAGAGTAAGGAGTCGGCTGATTTCTGTTGTTCTGGAGGTAAAATAAATTTGCTTTCGTTCGAAAATCCACCGGAACCTTTAAAGTCACTACTTTTAGGGGAACATGTGCAATCTAAACAGTTCTTAGACAATATTCGCACTTATAATAGTGCGTTTCAAATGACATCCTTTGGTGCTCAACAAATCTCAGAGAGTCCTTTCATGCCTACTTTTATGATACAAGGTCAGGTTTACCATTTGATAGGATCCCTTTTGCCTGAAGACCAACCTAAGTTTCTTCAAATATATTTTGTATCCGACTATAACGAACAGTCGAATATAAGAAATCAATATTTCCCGAATTTAAATACTGAACTTATTTCACAACTTCAGAACATATTGCATCAGGTTAATTCGTATGTATGCAGTTTTAAATCGGCATTACAAGCTCTTCCTCAAGATGGTGATAATAATTATAAAATTGTTAAAAATGCCAATAGGCGTCCAACTCAGGAACACCCTGGGCGTTATAACGTTCCATCCACGAATGAAGTTGCTGTAATATTGGTCGACCAGGAATGTGGTAGGCGTGATATCGTTATCCGTTCCAGAGACAATCGTATGCAACGTATTTATGAAACCCACAGGGCTTACGACAGTTTGCAATATCCTTTGATATAACCTCGAGGGGAAGATTTCGCTTTATACCAAACTGAGTTGCGTACAGGCGCACCTAATTATAATAAAAAGATGTCATGCTTCACTACAAAAAATCCACTACTTCATATTTTACCGTGTTTGTCGTAAGAGGTAACAGAGGAATATTGAGACAGGGATGGGCAGCGGCATCTCTATATATAGCCGCATTTCTATATATGATAACAGCAAAGTTACAATAAAAAACTGCGGTTGTCAACACACTTTCTAAGCGTGGCAACTGTTTTTTTTAATAAGCTGGTGCCTAAAATAGGTAAAACCTATGTCTTGGGTAACTATAGCAAATATCTCCTCATGAACAACGATACAAAAATATTGCCTCAAGTCCCCGGTAGCCGCGCTATTCTTTGCTACAGTGGTGACCAGGGCACAAAGAAGCAAGGGTTGCTAAAATTCTCCGATGTAGAGTCGGTTGCCATCTAAAACGACTTGACCTGGCAACATTTAACGCACGAGCCTTGAGGACCGACGTGAAGAAACTGGATCTGGAAAAAGAGAAAGAGACGCTGCGTTGGGATATTATTAGATTATCTGAGGTCCGAAGAGAGAAGTAGGACACGGTAATCCTCGACTCAAGCAACTTGCTCTATCACCGGTCATCTGTCCTAAGGAATCAAGTACAGATTATACGTCGTGACCTAGGCGTCTTGTTGGATAGTAAAGCCTCTTTCGTGCTACGTATAAACAGTACAATACTAACGGGGACCAAAATGTCCGGATTTTAGCTAGAATCACCAAACAATTCAGACACACTCAAACTTTACTACTACTCTTTCAAAGCTTAGGAGAAAACTTGAATATTGCTCTCAAGTTTGGTCTCCTTTCTATGAGGTTCATAAGTGAAGGATATGACAAGTCCAGTGGAGATTTCTTAGTATGCTAACATTGAAATTTAACAATCATCGCTCCTTAAGTTGCTCCTTAATATGCTCCTTAAGCTGAACGGGTGAAGCATTTACGTATATCTTCCTTAATAAACAGGTGCAAATTTTTAGATTTTAAATTTCTATATATATGCTCTCAATTACTGGAAATGGTTAACATTAGCCTCCACGTAGATTACCCCGTTTTAACGTCTACAAGCTGTTTATGGTGCATCTAACAAGATTAATTTCAGCTTTAATATGAAATGTTTAGACTGTATGAGGTATTATTTGGATATTTTCAATGACAGTTTAAATAATTTCATAAGAAAAATGTTACCTTATTTAGATTATAGATGTAAACCCTTTTAGTTTCTCATAAAATACCCAATTTTGTTACTGTACTACAAAATTTTACGTTATTTTACTATTCGTAACATTACTCTGTGTAAGCTATGGTTGCATATAACTAGATGAGCACATTGCATGTCTCCCACAATGATTAAATCTAGTTTTAGTTTTTGTGTATCATCTGTCAGTGATCCTTATAAATAAATACATAAATAAAAGAGGTATCGGATTTATCGTCCATAAGTCTCTCGTTAACAAAGTTGTAAAGATTGGTAGTGTGTTGACGAGGGCTGCGTACCTCATATTCAGAATCACCAAATGGTATTGGTTATAAGTCATACAGGTTTACACATCTACCTCGGCGCATCTCGATATATTCCTCCAAAACCTACAGTACGGTTCATGGAAGACTAGTCACAACATCGGTGAGCTAAAGGTAGGGAACTTCTGAATAGGGAAACGAAACCTAAGAGTCGAGCAGCTTGGTTACTTCATAGAAAAAGACGAACTCTTTTTTCAAAAGCGGCCCCACGGAAAGCGGACCTGGTCGAACCTCGGAAATTTGAAAAATGACATTGACTTAATTATAATGACCAGACAGCAACTTTTTGTTGATATCTCCGTAAAAGCGCAGGTGAAAACTGGCAGAGATCACCGATTGATGAGGAGCCCTGATACTTTCAGTTCTATGTTTTCAGTGCCTTGAAAACTGAAATACAGTGGACGATATGACTAACATTATCTTGGAAACTGTCCATTGTGTCGTAGCTAAGTTTTGCAAGATCCGTCGCAGATAAACCCTAATAACTCTCTAATAACACTATTAATCTCATAGCTGTTAGATGGGAAATGAAACTGCAGTCTTTGGCAGATATAAACAAATAAATAGACCAACGAAAGAAGAAATATCAATGCGCCGGCCATATAACTTGGAGAAACCACTACCGATGGGGACGAAAGATTCCCGAATGGTAGCCTTGTACCAGTATATGATGTGTGGGGCATCCCCCCACTAGATAGAGTAATGTCCTGGTAAAACATGCAGAAAGCCAATGGATTCATGTGGCTCAGGATCGTGCTTTGTCGCATTACTTTGGGGAGGCCTATGTTTAGCCGTAGACACGTGAGACTCAAAAATTCTATGAAACCGTGGTACTAGATAGCCTGGTCGAGCCGACCCATTCATGCTACGGCTATGTGTTGCTAGCAAATTACTACTACGTAAGAAATATAATAAGTCCGTTGGGCTGTTAAATAATGATAAGCGTTTCGTAGTATTATTGCGCTTGCTGTCTACAGTATTGAAACACTATCTAAGCTCTGCATTGTTAGTATGACCATAAATTATTATTGGGCCATAAACGGATTATGTACTGAAAACGCATGGATTCTTATAACAGTGTTATTTTATCGTTGTCTATATCTGTATAAATATGGTGCGTTTAGTACTTATTGATTACTATTTATAAATTCTAAATAATGTTACTAATAACAAACTGTAAATAATTTTCAGTAGTAATTCAGAAGAGCATGTCCTTCGGAAAAGTTTTGGTATGAAGTGGCATTTGATCGTAATCAAAAATGTAAATATTGTATCAGACCGGTTGCACTGTGATAGGTAAGCTAAGAGTAATCATTAACTATTACCAATATCTAATTGAATTTTATCAATATTCTTTCACGTTTGTGCCTAAATGAAAAATATAAAACGAAGATAGTAGGAAGGTTTTCCCTTGGACAATACATGATCTCATCTGTTCTTTCTTTTCCGTTCCATTTTCCGTCAAAGTCTACAACTTGAATGAGTCTTTCCTCTTGTAGGGAGCGAATTGACGATAGTAGTGCCAGATATTTATCACCTTTTAAACTGCTTTTCCTTGCTGTCTCCAGTACGTCTGGGTATTTTATGCCTTCATTACAGCCTACTAAAATTCCAACGTTGAAAAACAGACTCCACCATAGACAGTCTCGTAAGTGTAAAAATTTTACATAGTTGCATTTTTGTGTTATGTTGTATTTTTTATTATTTTTGAATTGTTCAACATCCTGTTTCTGTTTCCACTCTGTCAACTCTTAAGAGATGACATGAAGGGGTGGTATCTTTATAACATCACTACCTACAATATGTATCAATAAAAAATATAATTTTTATTGTACTATATGATATAGATCTTCGAACCGATCAAGCTGAAATTAATCTTGAACATATTGATTTCAACGAGAATCGATTCTCTTGCATTCTATTTGACTTATTTGAAGGTAATTTTTTTTAATTGAGCCTTACATTAGTTATGTAATGTTTGAAATAACTAACTTTTCATTTCAGTTTGTTATACATCTTTAATTACGGGACTGATGTACGCCTGGCCTTCATCGATAGTGAGATTTTTTCATCAGCAAAAACAATACTGCACCGGCCTATGTATGAAACGGAAATAGCACTATTTGGAAGTCTACTAATCCATCGGTGCGCTCGTTAGCACACCTCTATCAGCGTTACTTCTCGACAACTTCAGTAGAAAGTACACTTGCGTACTCTCTTCCATGACACAAGTGGTGCGTAATTTGGGTATTTTTCTTTGGTAGCCATGCTTTGTCGTCATAACACACGACATCTTTATTCTTGCTTATAGTTCAGTAAACATAAGGCGAGCCCTGACTGGAAACTAGTTAGTATATATAGCTAATAAACTTATAGACTATGCTGATATTGTGCATTTAGTGACTACTTACTTGGACTATTAATTGAAACAATAAAACGAAAGCTCCTCTAAATTAAACCCTTGATATTGTATTCTGAATTAAGCTTCCG